CCCCCCGCGCACCCCCGCCAGTGTAGTTGGCGAAGGCGGCCACGTCCCCCTCCTCCTCCACCAGGATTGCCACCGTCGCACCCACAGGGATGTCCTTGCTGCCTGCGGTGGGGCGGGGCCAGGCGCCGCGCCGCGCAAGCACCAGGGTTGCAGCTCCGTCTACCACCTACATGCGGGCTCGCCCTACGCGTGGCGGGACTCGCGTGTGCGCGTCGACGCTGCCCTAGTGGGCAGGCGCGGTCGCGGGGTCCGCCCCGTGTGCTTGTGGGTGTGCTCACCGTCGCCCTTGATGATTTTCGCGAGGAATCCCTCCTCCTGCGCCTCCCACTCGATGGTGGCCTTATCTGTCTCCACCTCCGCCAGCACGTCGCCGGGCGAGATCGACGCACCCTCCTTCTTCTTCCACACGGCGATGTTGCCCTGCTCGCACGCGGCGGCGGGACGCAGGTCAGGGCCCGCCGACGGAGGCGCCGGTGGAAGGGCGGGCCGGAGCGGCGTCGGCGTTGGAAGAATCGACTAGGGTTCCATGCATTTGGACGGCGGCGGTGGAGCGGCCCAAAGAGCTGCTGCCTGCGCTCCACGGTCCCCACCTGCGTCATGGTCGGTGACAACGACGGCATCTGCATCTCCGTGTGCGCCGGCACTGCAGGGGGATCCAGGGAACATGAGGTAGGTTAGCGCTGCCAACAACGTGCAGGAGCAGACAGTCCGTCGCCGGCACAGGCACGAATGACGCACAATGCTGCACGGATCAGCCCTAGCTGCCTGGTGGTGGCAATTACTTTTGCAACGGGCCACTCACAGTCTGCAAAGCTCCTGCGCTGCATGCCCCAGGCCGCTGAGAGCCCGGGTTGCACTGCTGGTGATCTAGCGTAGCACAGCCTGCGGGGGCATAGGGGCCATTAAAGCAATGCTCAGGTCCACTCATAACGCAGTTTCGTCGCCGAACTTCAAGCAAGCGACGTGGCGACAGGCCCACGCGGTCCTCCAGGCACCGCGCACCATGAAGCTCCAGTTGCTGCCGTACGAGCCTGGATGAGGCCCCTGTAGGCTAGGAGCCGCACGAGCGACCGCTGCCCTATCGTCATAGCGATCCGGAGTGCCCAACGCAGGCAGCACCGCGCTTACAACGCTTCCTAGAGCTGACACAGGCTTTCTAACATTTGTCCTGAAGCGGCAGATTTGGCACTCTCTCACAAGGGACAAACATGCACAAGCATGTGGGCATCCAGATCGGCGCACCCTGATTGCATTGACTGCGAGCCTGAGTTGATGTCGGTATGTGCTTGTACTGGCCTGTTTGAGTCGTTGAGGGCGAAATTTCTAGTGTAGTGAGGGTCCAGTGCGGGGCGATGAATAGTGATCTACAGGACTGGCTTGTCAACTAGGAGCGAGGCCAGGTTTGCTGTGCAACACCTGACGGGCTCTCAGGAAACGGTGGATGGTATCATGGCAGGTGTGTGAAGCTCCGACGCCCATGCGGCGCTGCACCATGGTCTGCCTGGGGCGTGGCGCTGCAGCGCTGTGGTGCGAACCGCTACGTGCTGCAGGAGCACGTCTGTTGTCCCACCATGGCCAACCCAACTCCCTGGTGTCCCAGGCCCACACGAAGACATCTGCGTGTTCGAGTTTGATGACAGCGATGCAGAGGAGGACCAGCAGCCAACGCCCAAGAGGCGCCGCCAGCGGCAGCCCCAGACGCTCATGGCAGCGCCCGCGCCGCAGCCCGCTGCAGGCGCTGTGGGTGCCGCCCCGCGGCGGCGCGTGCCGCAGCAGCTGCAGTGGCCGCCGCAGCCCACGCGCACCTCTGGAGGTGGCGGCGGCGGCGCCGCGGCGGGCGCGGCGCCCGTGGCGAAGCCGTTCGGGGTGGTGGCCACGGCCGCACTGCCTGCAGGGGCGCAGCTCGGCAGCGGCGGCGCACAAGCGGCGATGCTCGAAAACAACATTCAGATGATGAGAGAGTACGTGCAGAGGCTTGAGGAGCAGCGGCAAAAGCAGGCCGCGGAGGCCGCCGCTGCCAAGCAGGGCAAGGCCCCTGCCAGGCCGGGCCCCGCTGGCACCGGCGTCAAAACGGCAGCGGCGGCCAAGGGGCCTGTAAAGGCCGCAGGCCCGGCCGCACCGCTGGCCGCAAGTCAGAGCCCAGCAGCAGTCAAGGAGGCGGCGGCAGCGACGGCCACATCGTCTGGGGCTGCAAGCACACTTGTGAGGGCGGCCGCCGCCAAGCCGCAGCTCAAACGCGCAGGCTCTGCTGGCAAGACGGCCAGCCCAAGCGTCGGCGCGCCGGCCCTGAAGTCGCCGACCGCACGGCCGTCCGCGGCCGCCGCGCAGCTTCCTGCGTCCGGCCCCGCGTCCACCAAGGACTCTGGGGCGTCGGCGCGGCGCGCGGCGGCAGCGGCGACAAACCAGGCAAAGCTGCGCACGCGCGCCCGCGTCAGCAGCAGCCTGCCGCAGCCGGAGCTCGGGCAGGGGCTGCCGCAGGGGGCGCCACCGCCGCAGGGGGCGCGGCTCCCTCAGGCGCTCGGTCCTGCTGAGCAGCAGCAGCAGCAGCAGCAGCAGCAGCATCCTGCGCCGCAGCAGGCGCCGGAGGAGATGGGGGGCGTCGTGGGCGTCGAGAACGCGGCCGCGCAGCAGCAGCAGCAGCAGCAGCAGCAGCAGCAGCAGCAGGGGGAGCGAATTGAGGCGCCTGGAATCGCACAGCCCCCAGATGACACGCAGGACGCAATGGAGTACATCCTTGGCCCTCTGATAGAGGCCGGCGCGGCGGGCGCGGCGCCGCAGCCTCTGGGAGTGAGCATGCCGCCAGATGGCGGGGTGCTGGGTGGCGGCGAGGGGCAACAGCAGGTCCTGCAGGCGGGGGAGGCGCGAGTGCTGCTGCAGCAGCCAGATGGGGGCCAGCAGCAGCAGCAGCAGCAGCAGCAGCAGCAAATGCCGGCGTTGCAGGAGCACATGCCAGCTCCACTGCAGCAGGTGCTGGCGCCACGAGAGCAGGCGCTGGCGCCACCGGAGCATGCGCATGCGGCACTGCGCCCGGCACTGGGACCTGTGCTGCAGGCGCAGGCGCCATTGCAGCAGGCGCTGGCACCTCAGCAGCAGGCGCCTCCACTTCAGGAGGCGTTCGCATCACTGCAGCAGGCGTTTCTACCACTGCAGCAGGCGCTGGCACCTCAGCAGCAGGCGCTTCCAACTCAGGAGGCGCTGGCATCACTGCAGCAATCGTTGCTACGACTGCAGCAGGCGCTGCCCCCACTCGACCAGGCAGAGGCGACTCTGCGGCAGCTGGCACCTCTGCTGGGGGTGCAGTTGCCACCGAAGCAGGCGTATGCACCTCAGCAGCAGGCGCCTGAACTCCAGCAGGCGCTGGCACCTCAGCAGCAGGCGCTTCCAACTCAGGAGGCGCTGGCATCACTGCAGCAATCCTTGCTACGACTGCAGCAGGTGCTGCCGCCACCCGACCAGGCAGAGGCGACTCTGCGGCAGCTGGCACCTCTGCTGGGGGTGCAGTTGCCACCGCCGCAGGCGCATGCACCTCAGCAGCAGGCTCCTGAGCTCCAGCAGGCGCTGGCACCTCAGCAGCAGGTGCCTCTATTGCAGCAGGCGCTGGCACCACCGCAGCAGGCGCCTGCGCCACTGCAGCAGGCGCACCCACCTCAGCTGCAGGCACCCCAACACCAGCAAGTGGTGGTGGCAGCCACACCGGCCCAGCAGCGTTTGCCGCCACTGCCAGCCCCGCTGCCCGCACTCTCCCTCCCGCCAGGCGCCGAGGCGGTGGTCGCGGCGCTGGGCGCCGAGCAGCAGGCGCGAGCGGCGCGGCTGCTCGCGCAGCAGCAGCGGCACCTGATAAGGGAGCAGCTGCTCCTAGAGGAGTTTGACCTGCTGCGCCGTGGGTGGGTGGAGACCGACTCCGCGCTGCAGCAGCTGCTCGGCGGCGCCGCGGCGGCCCCCGTCGCGCTGCTGCCGGTGCCGCCGCTGCTGCTGCTGCCGCCGCTGCCGGTGCTGCCGCCGCTCCCCACGGCGGTCGTCGCG